TTGATGTTCCTCTCAGCTCTCTTTTTTCCCACCTACCTTAATTGTTTCTCTGACCCTTTGGAGTCACAGGAAACATTCCTCTCCAGCCTCAAAACACACACATTTACATCGTTTTTCCTCTTCTTGTTTCACCTCCAGTCACATTCTGGAAGCATGCTGACTTCCTTTTATTATTTATTATTTCATCTTCACCTAGTGGCTCCCCATTTTATTTTTCCTCTTTTTTTCTATCTCGCTTTACCCATTACCCATTTTCTTGCCCTCCCTCTCTTTCGCTCCCATTCCTTCCTTCTTATCTTCCTGTATTTCTTCTGATATTTTATTAATATGATAATTCCCTCAGCTTGGGACGTCTGGCTGATGTTAATCAAAGGAGCTAACAGAAAAAAAAGCAGTGTAAAAGTTTAGCAGATTTATTTTCATTTAATTTTTTTAATTTGTATTTATTTATTTTTATTTATTTTAATAAAAAAATGAGCTTTAATATTTAATCCAAGATTCAAATTCCATTCACTACTGCATAGTATCATTAATACTAAAATGTATATAAAAAAAGATTTGTGTAATTCAAAATGTATTATTTTATCCTTTATTTCTTCTGATATTTTATTTAATATTATTTATAATATTTGATTGTAAAAATGTGGTGCTCTAGAACAGATGGAAATTACCTTGAATTTTATTTTACATTTATTTTTAATTATTTATTTTTGTTAATGTGTAATATTTATTTACATTTTACAGCTCAGTGAAAGAATCCAACATTCAAATTTAATTTATTACTGCATAGTATCGATGATACTATATATTATAAAAATGTTTAAAAAAAAATACAGTTTTGAGTAATTCAAAATGTATTATTTTTCCCAGTATGTGTAAAATTTATATTTTTATGCTTATTTAAGCATCACACTGTTAGCTTTGCAGCTTAATAACATCAAATCAGTCTAAATTTGGTGCGCCATTTATCTAGAGGGAATCTCTCATTTATTAGGTTACATGACAGTTAGGATGCTCCCTATGTAGTCAGCTTCCTATGCTTACTGCATTCCCCAGCTCTTCAGGTCAAGTATGTGGCTCTTCAGACCGAACTGGCATTCCAATTAACCCTCTTGCATTGGAGGATGCTTGTTACGGAGCGGGCGAGAATTACCTGGTTCAACATCAGCTGTTATGGTAAAACTGAATAATTTACAGCGCTGTCACAAGTGTCATGTTGTTGAACGTTACGTCAGGAAAGCTGAGGGCGACTGCAAGCCTCCAGGGATTCCTGTGGAATGATCCCAGGGTGTGTGACAGCTTCTGATGAGGAGGTTGCAATATTGAGCTCGGAGTGGGTTTTCCGTGTGTGGGGAATGGATGTGATTATGTGTGGCCATATATTGTACAGAACATGTTCATTAGATACATTAAAGGTATAAAGCATATGTTGATGCCTGCAAATATTTGTCTGGCGAAAACGGGTTCAGGCAAAGCATATTAAGGACTCATCAGTCATGTCTCCTACAAGATTGAGTCAGCTTTCCGAAAAGCAATGACTCACCCGGAGATTTACACAGTTGTGAGTGCCAAAGCCAGCGTATGCAGAACAAAATAAGCTGTTGTTCGTTTATTATTGAGGCGTCAATATGCACTTATGAAATGTGAACCGGCAGAGTCTCTTTGGTTATACTGGCTTCATTATTTATTCAAATCTTTATCGTCTATTCTGATTGGCTAAATCATTTCCCATAATTCTCAGTCGGTGTTATCGATTGTTACTGATGAAACCCCCTCAGGCCATAACTAATTAGTGTTTCTCTTTCTGTCTCTTTGATTCCTGCTGTTTACGATAAGCCAGTGGTGACAAATATCTCCTGTGGGAAGCGTTGTGACGTTCGTTTCGCAGTTTTTATGCGTTTTCTCACTCTCTCCATCTCTGACGCACTCTCTTTATAGCTGCCTGTGAATTAAGTGTCAAATTAGTGCTTACTTTGATGCTTTAGTATGAATGAGGTTTTGTGCATCTCTTGAGGTTATCGAGCTGATCATTTGTATCACTGTTATTCATGAGCCTTTAATTCAAAGCTGTTATCATGTTCTAATGAAGATAATATTCTGTATATTTGAGAGAAACGCATGCAGACATTAAAGGTAGGCTACATTTATAGCATGACATGCTATACTCATTTTTAACCATTTATTTTATTGTACTGTAGTTGACAACCTGCAGCGTGACATGCTATTGTCATTTAAAAAGTTTTTTTTTTTTAATTATTTTAAAATTCTTATTTTATTATAGCTGTTGACATTACCTGCAACATGGCATGCTATACTAATTTTTTTATTATTATTATTATTATTATTTTATTATAGTAGTTGACATGACCTGCAGTGATATTAGACTCATTTTAAATTATTTTTCTTTTCAAATTAGTTTTACATTTATTATATTAGTTGACATGACCTGCAGCGTGACATGGTACACAAATTTTCGGTTTTCATTTTAGTTTACATGACCTGCAGCATGATACACTCTTCTACTTTACATTTTTTCTTTTCTTATTTTTTCATTATTTTATTATGATTTATAATTTTTTATTTATTTATACATGCAGTTTTTTTATGACCTCATAACTGAAAATAGTGATTAAAAATGGCAAAAGAAATGCTGACTGTCATGTTTAATTTTTCTTAATTCCACAGTTGTTTTTATTATATATGTAGTCATTTAATTATTATATATTTATATTTTCACATCCATATTTCTACTTACCTCCATGTCTCTGTTTGTCCCTTTTTCACCCCTCAAATTCTCCCACATTCTTCCTCTTGGACTGGAAAGATAAAAACGCTACATCTGAATCTGTGGGTGGCTCTGAAATTCAAAGCATCCAATTACATTTACACAGTGCATGTGTCTCTGCTCCTCCTCCTCCTCCTCCTCCTCCTCTCTCTTTCTCCCTTCCTCTCCCCACTCTTGTTTTCCCACCTTTCTTTCTGCCATATGCCCTCTTTTTCACAGTCACATGTGTTTCCACATGCCTGCCCCTCATTTCAGCCTTCACATTGCAGAAGCCGAGCCACATTCTTAAGTTTGAGGAGTCCGGCTTTCAAACCTCCTGATGCAGGCAGCTGCCACATGCAGAGCATTACTCATATCCCTGTGAAAGCCCTTTATACCCGAGGCTGGTGTCAGCTTAGCAGGTGACATTAAGAGGCTAAGAGTAGTCCGCATTGGGCCTGTCATTTCTCAAATTGATAAAGAAGGGAGAGAAACTGACAGCCGGATCCGGAAGCAGGAAGAGGTAATGACATATAAGGACTTTTTCAAGAAGGGCTTTATCGTGTTCATTTGTGGGGGAAATGGTTATTTAAAGGGGGCCATATCATCAGAAACCTTACTTGATGTTTTGTACATAAAAGAGTTTTAAGTGCTGTCTATTTACTTAAAAGTCTTAAAGGCACAGTAACAAATAAACTCTCAATAGTGTCAGTGTGAGTGCCTCTCATGGTCATGGTCATGAAAACTAAATTTTGATTGCTTTATCAGCACATAAAACCTGACGAAAATAATTAAATCAAAATAAAATGATAAATATAGTGATAATGTTTAAATGTATAAAATGCAGATGTATGCATGTTTTAAAATGCAAGTTTGCATTAATGCATGCTTGAATGCTCTGACGTTCTCTTGTAAGAGAGACATCATGATGCGCTTGATTCATGAGGAACCATCGTCCATCTAGACTTTTTCAAGAAGGGCTTTATCGTGTTCATTTGTGGGGGAAATGGTTATTTAAAGGGGGCCATATCATCAGAAATCTTACTTGATGTTTTGTACATAAAAGAGTTTTAAGTGCTGTCTATTTACTTAAAAGTCTTAAAGGCACAGTAACAAATAAACTCTCAATAGTGTCAGTGTGAGTGCCTCTCATGGTCATGGTCATGAAAACTAAATTTTGATTGCTTTAGCAGCACATAAAACCTGACGAAAATAATTAAATCAAAATAAAATGATAAATATAGTGATAATGTTTAAATGTATAAAATGCAGATGTATGCATGTTTTAAAATGCAAGTTTGCATTAATGCTTGCTTGAATGCTCTGACGTTCTCTTGTAAGAGAGACATCATGATGCGCTTGATTCATTAAAACAGAATTTTAGTAATGAAAGGATTGCAGTAAATGTTAAATACGATCAGCTGCTGACAGGGTCACTGGATTGTGCACTGCTGGATTACACTGTGTGATGCTTCTGTGGTTTTGTAGCCTGATGACTAAGCTGATTTTAGGAGAAAATGTGGAATTCTGCAGAATGGATTTCACACGGTGAAATCTGAGCCGAGAGTACTATTCTATTATGTTTTTTTATTATTAAAATATTATTTATCGCAAATGTATATTTTTAGCTATACATTGTCATTATAACAATGAGTCAGTAATGATTCTAACTGACTTTCAGAACCCTTAAAGGGATAGTTCACTGAAAAATTTAAATCATGCCAAAATTCACTCACCCACATGATTTTCTTCTGAGGAACATAAAAGAGGATATTTCAATTCACTTCGTATAGTCAATGGGCACAAAAACGGTTTGGTTACCAGCATTCTTCAAAATATTAATATTATATTATTTTGTATTTCAAAAGGATTGGAACATCATGAGGGTGAGTAAATGATGAAATTTTTGGGTATACTATCCCTTTAAGCAATCAAAAGTACTCAAAGCATCATTTCGAGATCGACATCATTGAAAGTAATGATAACTTGCATTTCAGTGAGTCTGATTTTGATTCAGTAACTGCTCTGACTGATTCAATGAGTTAATTTGATGAAAGATTTGTCAGACTGATTCAAGCTTGTAACTGGTTTGTGAGTCTTTTTGAACGATTCATTAATAGAACCAAGTCATTTGCTTGTGACTTCACAGCATGTCATGCCTAACACTATCCTTCATCCATGACTATAGTCACAGTGTGGGCCTGCCAATGACGAATGCGTGTGTGTTTTTTTGCAGAGCAGCTCGTGCATTTGGAGAGTACCTTCACACCCATCCTGAGAACCGCAACGGATCAGGTCAGTTATCTCCACTCCTCTGTCTTTCTGCTCTTCTTTTTTCCAGTCCACTTAGAGCCTGTGATGTTCTCAAGGTGCGTTCATGTTTCATGAGGAGCTATGCCACTTCTTAATGTAGCGTGTGTTACCTCATCTGTCTTTTTCTCTGTGCATCTCTTGCTGTTTCTCACTTGGTCCTCTCTCTTTCTCTTGTCATCTGTCCTAATGTTTGATTTGAAGATCACTTACTGTCTGACACCCTCGTTGGCCACGACTCTGACTCCCCAGACAGCCTGTGCACTCAGAACAACAACTTCCACAGCTGCACCCCCCAGGGCTCAGCCGTCAGTGCCAACCCCAGCTTGATCAATCCCGCCCTGGGCCTTCTGGAACCGCCACCTCCGGCAACTTCCTCCAAGAGTCGGCTGTCCCTAGAGCGCAGCTTTTCGGCAGAGGAGGATCAGCAGAAGTGCGTGGAGTGTTCCCTGCAGCCTGCTCGGGTCTACACCATCACCGGAGAGAGCGGCATGCTGGGAACCAGCCGGGGAAGCAAGGAGAACCTGGAGCTCGAGGTCTTGAAAGGGGCGCAGGAGGCGTGTCATGCTCAAGAGCTCGCCCAGCCCTCTACGTCCTCCAACTCGTCTTCTCCGACCCAGCACCACCACCGCCACCATGGAAGTGGAAGCGGAAGTGGATCTGGAAACCATCATCACAGCAACCCCCATCATGGCAACCACCATCACAGCAACACCAGCGGAGGTGGAAGCAGCGGAGGAACAAACCCCCACCAGCACATCTCCAGTGCAGGGACGTCGCACCATCACCACGAGGTGCCCCATCCCCACCACCTTTCCCAGCCTCTGCAGAGCTCGGTCAGCGCACACAACATTCGTGGCTGGGGGGAGGGAAAGGACTGCGGCCTGGCGTGTGAGGCCTGTCCCGGGGCTCCCTCGCGCAGCCAGGGCTCCCTGGACCTGGAAAGCAGCACCCGAGAGGCAGGCAAGCAGCGCCGGCCACCACTAGAGCGGATGTGCAGTGTGGACCGCATGACTGGGCTGGAGCGAGGTGAGAGGGGGAGAGCGACAGGGGAGAGAAAGAGAGAGAGGCTCTGGCCAAGGGCAAGGGGTGGGGTTCAGCCAACAATGGGGGCGTTGATGTGTTCGATGTGCCGTGGTCTGTATTTTTCCGCTCTCCTGTGTCTCTCTCCTCTCTCCTGTGTGTCTCTTTTGTGCTCTCTCCCTCTGTGGAGTGGACCATGTGTGTATGTTGTTGCTGGTATATCTTCACACAGTGGCCCCAGAAAATATTTGGACACTTGAACTACACTTAATTGAATGAATCAGGTTCAGAAGTAAAGCTTAATCAACAGCATTTTGGCATAATATTGATTACGACTGAAAATAATTCAGATTTTTTTTCTTCAAAAACAAGTAAAAATTGTGGTTAGTGAACCAGTTGCTTATAGTAAATGGAGCCCTGAAATGCATATGGCAGATACTTTTTCCCCAATTGCATCCGATATCTATTGTATTTAAGATATACATTTTTGTCAGTTCATACATACTTTGGGAATTGAACCCATGACCTTGGTGTTGTTACCACTTTGCTCTACTGCTTGAGCTACGTGAATTAAAAATGCTTTTATTTTAGCCAATGGTGTTGTACAGCAATTATATTTAAAGATTATACTAAACATGATGTTAACATGAGACTATTAGTTCATGCATTCCTTGGGAATCAAACCCATGACTTTAGCGTTGCCATTCTCTATGGTTTGAGCTACGGGAATAAAACACTTTTAGTTTAGTCACACATACAGTACAGCCATGGTACTTCAATATTATTCATTAGACTTGTGTGATGGAATCGTTTACTAACTTTTAGTAAAGTTAGAACCTTTCAACATCAAGCTAAGCAGGTAGTTTTTCCAGTAGGCTTTAAACTGCAGATAGACATAAACGTCTCTTTCTTGTTTGCATATATTCATAAGTTCTGACAATTGAAAACCAGACAGAAATAAAAGTCATCTGTTATGCCTTCATCTGACAACATGTCTCTGTTGATGTACTGGCAACTACCCACATACACAGACGCATCTTTGATGTATAACGAGAAGCTCACTTGTCTAGAATAGTAGACGCTCAAATAATACACATTTTTACAGATTCACATTTCACTAGCACTATTACCTGCTATGTACCCTCATTTTACCATGTTTTTTGCTTTCTTTAAAACAACAAAAGGAAAAATTAAGAGACAAGCCAACATGTTTTCTGTAGTAATCAATATTTGCAACTGAGCTTAACTTGTTTTGAACCCAAAAGTGTATTTAAAAATGTAGATGTGTCATTAGATGACAAATGACCAACCAAGTGGCATTTATTTTTATTGAAAAATAGCGGCCACTTTTCATGCAAAGCATTTGTTAACACAATATGTGTGTGTGTGTGTGTGTGTGTGTGTGTGTGTATGTATGTATGTATATAATTATTACTGTTATTATTATACAGTTAAAATTAACTGCAAAGATAGTTAAGAATAGTAAAACTAGTATCATTTGAGTGCTGTTTTGGTTTGATATTTTTTTTGTCTTCTGCAATGAAACTCCTACATTTTGGAGTGTGGTTTATGTGTCCTCCAAGTACTTTTTGGGGCCACTGTATATGTTTGTCCAGTTTGACGCAATTCATATATTTGGATATATCATTTCAGCTGTACTGATGTGGTCCCTTATGTCTGTTTCTAACCAGAAGATAACAGTTGGTTCCCTAAAGAGAACATGTTCAGCTTTCAGACTGCTACAACGACCATGCAGGCGTGAGTACTCTCTTCATCACACACATAAACACACTGAAGTTTGAAGCCTATATTGACCTCAAGTACAGATGGCACAAAAGGTGTCTCGCTACAAACACGCACTCATTTTAGTGACATTTACTGTCAAACTGACTCAGAGAGCTGACAAGTACACGATGACCACACACACTTTCTTCAAACATGGTTGTTATCTAAGCTTTCTGTCTGTCTGTCTTTCTTTCTTCTTTTTTGTCTGCCTCACCTCTCCGCTCTACAGGATTTCGTGAGTATCCCTTTTGTACCCTTTAAATGTCACAAAATGACAGTGAATGATGTCAAACGCTAGCTTTCCCAGCACTGCCTACCCTGCCATCCCTCCAGTCTCAGCAATTTAGCTCTATTTACAATATTTGACAGTGTTTAAAATAAATAAGAAGTGAAGGAGAAAAAAATATTGACTAGAATCACAAACATTCCTATCCGGATAGGATTAGATTTCTCAAAGGACCTCCGAGGTAGCCTAATTTGCTCTGTAATTTTTTCGCAATTGCTTCGTAATTTGAGATTGTGTGAGGAAGAGCACACAAACCTGTCTATGAAACAAACATTTATTGGATCTTCTCAGGGTAACTGGTCCCTTTTTAAATAGGGCTTGTGTGTATGAACCGAGGAAACCACCGTTTCACCGCTGTCAAGTTGATGAAACTGAAAATGATTTTACCTTGATGTATAAATGAATCACAATGCGCTTGGTTTGAAAACCTGAGGGAAAGATTGATGATGTTGCTTTAGTGGTGTGAAATGCAGCGATGCATTTGGATTCAGGAAATGGGTTAGAAACACATTTGATAGGCTGGTCTGGATAATTCTGATTATCTCAGCCGGAGACACAGTTGTCTTGGATGGTTTAGAAATGCTGACGGATGCTGATGTCGATCATTTTTTGAGTTGAGTTTAGCTAGAAATGTTGTGTCCCTCGAGATAATTTTGAACAGCATTTTGAATGGCAGGTGTGTCTGAAATGTCTTTTTAAACAGTTTTATTTATTTACTTACATTTTATTTACTTCTTTTACTTAATTGCAAGAAGAAATTGAGTCTCAGAATGTGGAAGGAATTTCAGTCTGTAGGTGATATTGTTGGTTATGTTATCAGGAAGGTCAAGATATTCTCTTACCAGTGCAAAACAACACAGCAACGATAAATAAATGGTCTTTCGATTTTCTGCACCAGTGGCATAAGTCCCGTTCATTTATACTTCAATCTTCAATCCAGTCCGAGGCTCTGCTTATGGCTGAACCTTTATTTACCCGGATGGAACTCCTCCTGCCTAACATCAGCCTAACATTGCCCCTTCACGAGCATGGCTCTAACCTCTAACTGCACTTGTGTGAGCCCTCACCCTCGTCCTCGCTGGCATTAAAGTTGTGTCACCTCCTGCCAGGGTTTTCCGGAGTCTAGCAGAGAAAAAGAGGAGAAAAAACAAGATGGAGTCAGCCTCCATCATCCAGAGGTACTTTGTTGCAGGCCTGTCATTTATCTCTGCTTTTATTCCTGTCAGATATAGAGGAAGAGCTTTGACAGTACAGCCCTATCTGGCACAACAGTCTGTCTGTCTATCTATCTAAACTTGATCTACATCTGTCGATCGTTGTGTCATTCTATCATTCTATCTGTCTATACACCTACCTCTATAGCTGTCGTTCTATCTCAAACAGAGATATGTATCCATATCAATATAGATATTTTGTCTGAGGACTTGGCACATTCATTATTCTTAGACATGAACCACCCTAAGCAGTTTAGCCTTCAATTTGCTGTGTGGTTGGGCTGAGATGAGAGTCAGATTCGAAGGCTTACCTCCATGGTTACAACACATCTTGAAATTGCTTTTTGCCTCACTGCCACAAACCAACTTACTGTTGTGTAACCAAGGCGTGACTGAACTATGCAAGTTGAGAGGAAAATTGCAATTGTTTGCAACCTCAGAAATAGTTTTTTTTTTTTGGAGGAGGAAAAATGGTTCAACTGATATCAACAGGAGTGCAAAAGAAATTCTAGACATTTCCAATGCTAAATAACATCAGCAATGTTCAGAGTAATAAACATTAAATGCAAATAAATTTAAAAAATGCTTTTTAAACTACATCACAGTACAGCCTTTGCCAGCTGGTTATATCACATTATAGTGGTAATACTAATTTGGTTACTGAAAAACATGTTAAAATGCAAATAAATTTATAACAAGTATTTTGAGAGTGATAATTGATGTTTGAGGTATATGAAATATTAATAAAAAATTATTCCTTTTTCATTCCTTTTTCAAATTTGCTTTGCGTTTGAACTACGCCGTATTGCAGCTTCTCCCAACTGGTTATATCAGCAGTTGATTGAATCAGTAAGCGGTAATCATAATTTGGCAGATGCCCACTTAGTAGTTAAAACTGAGTCTCCACTCAGTTTTAACTACTGGATGAGCATTACATCACCTAATTAATATTCATGAGTAATGCTGATAAGATTTATTATCCCATCCACACACGCACACACATTATATAATTTCTAAGCCTCCACTTTACTCACCTAAACAGGAAAAAAAGAAAAGGGGTAGCATATACTGTATGAGTTCAGATATCATAAAGCATATTGATCTGATCTTTCAGCATATTCTTCATATAATCAATAAGGTAGGTTTTTTTATAGATTGTTTGGCTTTTGTTTTTTTTGCTAGTATGTTTCATTCAAAGCTCACTCTAAGGATCAGGGGTAATTGAAACCGGACCAGATGGTCACAGTAGCAGTAGATGATTCAGGAGTGTATTGTTGGATGGGGTGGTGTGATACGTTGCTGGAAAGTCAAAGTCCCTGTGAGACAAATGATACCCTGCAATCATACATTAAGGAGGAGAATGGAAAGACAGAGAAATAATGAAACAGAGAGAGGTGAAAGGAAGAAAGTGAGAATCTGAAAGATAGGAAGAAAAGGCAAGCAGTCAATTATGTAATCAGAGTTGCTGCTGTGGGTGGGGACGTTTGGGAGCCGGAGAGGTCATATTGGACAGGAGTCTGGAGCATCCAGCCAGATGTCTCCCACAGTGCACAGCTGCTGTAGGGGAAATACAATGTGGTGTGGAAAAACACCTGAGTAATTGCTGAAAGTTGAGGTGGCCTGAAATAACACATACAGTTGTTCGACCCTACCGAACTTCCCCTTAATAGGATAGTTCACTTGAAATAGAAATTGGTCATCATTTACTCGTCATCATACATCATATGACACTTTTTCCTATGTAGAATGCAGATAAAGATACTTTACAGATTATCCAGGCTACTCTTTTCCATACAATGAAAGTGAATGGGGACTGGAGCTGTCAAGTTCCAAAAACGTTATGAAAAGCACTATAAAGGTAATTCAGGCAATTTGCTCACTATATTTCAGTTATTTTAAAACCATTTCATACCATAGGACCACTTTATATGGCACAGTTATGGTGCTTTTTGTAATTTTTTGGATCATCCCAGCCCCTGTTAACTTTCATTATACAACATGTAGAAGAGCACCTAGGATAAAAAATAATATAATAAACATTACATTTATTATAAATGCATAAATATGTATGTATTTATTTATAATAAATCTTACTATTTCTTTAAATAGTGAAATATTGTATTTTATTATTAACAAAATAAAAAAGTCATATGCATTTGCAACAACTTAAAGATGAGGAAATATTCCTTTAAAAAAGGAAAAGGGCATGATTGAGGGACTACAATTATTTAACAGAGTGAGAGAGGTGGTGGTGAAATTAAAGAGTTAATAGAGGAGCAAAGATTGCAGACTTGGACAGAAAGAGTGAGAGAATGAAAAGAGGAGACAATGGATGAAAAAAGCCTCTGACTCATCCTCAGCTGCGGGGGCGAGGGAGGTTTCTCTCTCTCTCTCTCTCTTGCTCTCTCTCTAATGCACGTGGGTGTAAATAAGCCGTAAGACGAACAGAAAAGGGACATTTCTCCATATCTCCCTCCTCTCAAAGGTGGGCACAGCTCTGTCACATGTGTAAACAAAGCGCTTTTTCTATCTTCCTCCCATGTTTCAGCCTCTCTTTTCCTGTCTCCCTTCCAATTAGTCATGATGAACAATGTAATTATGTCACAAAACAGGATACTTGTTGGAGAAAAACACTGAAACAGACTCAATAAAATTCCGAAATTAAATTTTCATAACACAATACACTGGCTAATGAGCATTTGCTTCCCCAGTGTGCTAACCATGTGTAGCACTGCAGTCCTGCCAAGAGTGTTGTTTTGGTTTAAATTAAGGCCCAAAAGGCCCAACGTATATGTTGAATAACCAAGGGAAATCTTTTTGCATTTTCAAGCACAGACATGAGACAAGGTTTTTTGGTGTAGTTTGCTGTAACATGCTGTTATCTTGTTTTATCCGAAAAATGTCTTGTTGACCTGATGTACCTTCTCATTTCCTTTCCTTCCACTCTTTTTTTTTCTTTCACTCCTCTTCTACTAATTTCTAGGAATTTCCGGAAGCATTTAAGAATGGTGGTGCTGTTTATTCCTGATGGCAAAGCTGAATTTTCAGCAGCCATTACACCAGTCTGTAGTGTCACATGATAATTTAGAAACATTTCTTCTTATAATCAATTTTGAGTAAAAAAGTAAAAACAGTAAAAAAAAAAAAAAGGACAGAATTTTTTTTAAATAATAATCTTTTGTTACAAATCCAATAGTTTTTGAGTAAAAAAGTAAAAACAGTAAAAAAAAAAAAAAGGACAGCATTTATTTTAAATAATAATCTTTTGTTACAAATGCAATAGTCTTTAATGTCACTTTTGATCAATTTAATGCATCCTTGCTGAATAAAAGTTTTATTTAATTAAAACGAAAAAGTCTTACTGACCCCAAACTTTTGAATGTTAGTAAATATAAAATCATTGCATTACAACCAGAAGTCTTCTTGCAGACCACTTGTATATCCCACACATACACAGTCTGGCTGTGATGTTCTTCCTCTGCTCTTGATGCTGATCCTGTTTGTCTGTCTTCCTCTGAGCGTGGTTCTGTCCCAAATATGTGCTCCTCTCTTTCTCTCTCTGTGAGTATCTGTCCCGCCTGGAACATCTGGACTCTGGAGACGTATATGTGTGTGTATGTTTGTGTGTATGTGTGTCTGTGTCTGTGTCTGTGTCTGTGTCTGTGTGTGTGTGTGTGTGTGTGTATGTGTACATGTTTTTCTATTCCGGTGGGAACTTAAACCTGAATACACACCAACTCATGGGGACTCGTGTTGGGAAACAAGCTTATAAATCATACAGAATTAGTTTTTTTTATAAAAAACATTTTTGAGAATATAAAAATTTAGAAAGTTTCCTGTGAGGGGTAGGTTTAGGTCTAGGGCGAATATACGGTTTGTACAGTATAAAAACCATTAAATATATGGAGAGTCCCCACAAGGATAGTAAACTGGATGTGTGTGTGTGCGTGTGTGTGTGTGTGTGTGTGTGTGTGTGTGTGTGTAAACGTGTAAGTGTGCACACTGTAGAATTCTGTGTCCGCATGTTAACTCTGTGTAGCTTTTCTTTGGACTTAATTTTGTCATCATGTTTGTTTTTGCCACCTGACTGTGTCTTCAGGGAGCCTGATGGAACTTAAACCTGAATACACACCAACTCATGGGGACTCGTGTTGGGAAACAAGCTTATAAATCATACAGAATTAGTTTTTTTATAAAAAACATTTTTGAGAATATAAAAATTTAGAAAGTTTCCTGTGAGGGGTAGGTTTAGGTCTAGGGCAAATATACGGTTTGTACAGTATAAAAACCATTAAATATATGGAGAGTCCCCACAAGGATAGTAAACTGGATGTGTGTGTGTGTGCGTGTGTGTGTGTGTGTGTGTGTGTGTGTGTGTGTGTGTGTGTGTGTGTGTGTGAACGTGTAAGTGTGCACACTGTAGAATTCTGTGTCCGCATGTTAACTCTGTGTAGCTTTTCTTTGGACTTAATTTTGTCATCATGTTTGTTTTTGCCACCTGACTGTGTCTTCAGGGAGCCTGATGAATGATTGTGAACATTTGCCTTACAGTTGTAATATTTGTATGTTGGCTTTTCTCTGTCTGTTTTCTCTCTCTATAGCTGCCTGGTTTCTGTGGTGTACTGATTTTCTAATGGAGTTTTTCCTCTCCTCTTTACTTTCTCTTATACAACCATTACTACAGTCTCTCATTGCGGTTTTACATTTATACTGTAGCTTTAGTTAGTTGTACTGCTATGTATGTAAATGGAATGCAGTCAAACAAGTGGTTCAGGATTTTTAGTTTTCGTGCCATAAAGGTATAGGCATACTTGGTGTGAAGAGTCCTTCACAGCAAATTGACACTGCATTTTTAGCCGTTAAAGGGATGGTTCACCCAAAAATGAAAATGCTGTCATCATTTTGTCATCCTCATGTCATTCCAAACCCAAAATCTGTTATTTTTAGTGGAAAATGAAGAAATAATTTTTCCTTACATGAAAAGTTCATCACAACTGTCCAAAAAAGACCTTCAGGTCCTGCGGAGCACAAAATTTGTATTCAAATTCAAATTTGTATTTGTTCACAAAGTTTTATTTATATATTATTTATATACTGTTTTAATATTTATTGATATTTTTTAATTAGCTTTTATTTTTGTTTTCTGGTTTCATTTCTAAACTTACCAACTTACTGTTTTACCAACACCAAAGTTTGTCATTTTCTTGTAAGTCTTTTTTTTTTTACCTAAAATTTATTGGGGAAAAAATATTTTTTAATAGTTCGTTTTTATTAGTTAACATTTTAATATTTATTGATATTTTTTAATTAGTGTAGCGGATTAGCTCATGGGGAAATATGAATAATTAACCATAACTAATTATGATTAATTATTAATATTTTAGATCCACTGTAGATATTTAGCTGACCACTCAGGGTCAACTGTCTTGTCAATTCTAAGAACGTTAATTTCCTAAATGAGGGAGTTTATCCCCTGCATTCCTTTTAGGCCATAAAACCAGTGATATCAGCATTGGTTACCATGGAACCAGAGGCCTGTTCTGCTTTTCTGAGGTGTTAGGTGCATTTCGGGGGAAGGGTCCATAGACCCTCGTAATTGGCCATTTGGTTAGGTGATGGGGAGTTCGATATTATTTGTTAAATATAACAAAAAGTTGTGTGTCTGATTGGTCCAAATGCTACATTAGCTTTTATTTTTGTTTTCTGGTTTCATTTCTAAACTTACCAACTTACTGTTTTACCAACACCAAAGTTTGTCATTTTCTTGTAAGTCTTTTTTTTTTTTACCTAAAATTTATTGGGGAAAAAATATTTTTTAATAGTTCGTTTTTATTAGTTAACAGTAATAACACTACATGACTTACTGTGCAATTCCAAGCAATACTGAATGATCATAAAGTCTTATGGACTACTTTTTGCGGGGTTCTGTTTTGACATTTTTAGGAGCTTGACAGTTGTGGTCAATATTAACTATCCTTCCGTAGGATTTCCTAAAAAAAAATCTCTTCGTGTTCCACATAAGATATATAACAGCATAAAGGTTTGGAATAACATTTTTGGGTGAACCTTTCCTTTTATCAGTTTATGACTCCTAACATGGAAGCAAACTGAGTGAGAGCCAGCAGCTCAATTACTGCAGTCCATGTATACAAATTCACAGTCAGTCTGTCTTATCTTGGTTCCATTTTCTCTCTATCTCAACCTTTCTCTCTCTCCACCACTCTTTCCTCTTCTCATTCCTCACTTGCCTCTTTGTTCCATTCTTCTCTGTGTCTTCCTTCGGCTATCTCTGTGTGCATCATTGAACTGTCTCTCTCTGCTGTGTTGTGTGGTACCACAGGTGGGGATCTGCAGACGACCTGCGGTACTCCAGAGGAGGGCGGCTGTGAAGACATGGACTGGGAGGAGGAGAGAGAGATGGAGAGACTAGCATGTGAGGGAGATGACTTCATCCCTCCCAAAATTATGGTATGCAGCTTAATTTAAATGTGTTATTTTCTGTTTTTAATGTAATTCAGATTTTAATTTGGTTTAATTTAAGTAATTTTATTTCATTTAATTACATTACAATGTTAATTTAATTGAATAAATCATTTTACATACAATGTTTATTTAATTGAATAAATCATTTTACATAATTTTTGTTTAATTTTCACTGTTATTTACTTGTACTTTAATTAAATTCAAAATTTAAATTCAACTCTTAGTGGTGACCATTTTTATTTCTGTCACTTAAGTAATTTTAATCAAATTTATAATGTTAATTTAATTTATTATGATTTATTTTAAATTCAATTTAAAAAAATTAAAATTCAATTCTTAATGGTGAACATTTCTGTCACTTTTGTATCCTTTAGCTGATCTCATCTAAAGTTCCTAAAGCAGAATATGTTCCCAACATCATTCGAAGGGGTGATACATCTATTATACCCATACTCTATGTAAGTCAAGCCAGTCTTCACTCTGTATCACACAGTGTTACATGACACATCATCCAGATATCCGTTTTGGCCATTTACAATAAAACAAATTTGTAGAGTTAGTGAATTTTCACCGAAAAGACACTTGAAACACAAAGCTAATGCTTTGTCCTGTGCAGTAGAACCAAAATCACTCTATAGGATGTGATACAAGAGGACACTTCACAAAATACTGTCCAGAGGTTTAAACACACAAGTGATGACCAAATTGATAGCAAACACAATAGTAGATGACAACATGTCCTCAACAGCACAAAGAAAAGCAGGAGCCAGTAATGTTATCTGGACCGGATGAGTGTGTATTAGAGATTAGAGACATTAAGCATGATATAAAGCACATTTTCCCTTCAGAATGAGTCTTATCTGTGTGTTTGTATTGATTGTTTTCATTATTTTTATCTCCAGGATCATGAGCATGCCACGTTTGATGATATTTTGGGTATGTAGCTTCATGTGTGTGTGTGTGTGTGTGTTGTTTGTTGATGTGTGCTTGCTGGATGCAGTGTGCTTTTTTTGTGTGTGTGTTTGAGCACTTTACCCCTTGCCTGGTTATTTCATTGTGGAATGACGGTGGGCTTTGTATTGGTTTTTGCACTAACCAGCATGAGAAGCACAAAAACAATTGAATTCCTGATAAATGACAATGGATCAGAGAAGTGCCTATATATGACTGTTTTACAACAGTGACTCTGTAAAATCTGTGGTGATCAAGTTTTATTCAACGTGTTTTGGAGTCCAACAGAATCAGAAATTCATAAATGAACTTCATTCTTCCTTTTAAATGCCAATGGGTAGTTATGCTAATTAATAATATTGATTGTTTGTCCATTTGTTTGTGCACGACCTTTGTTTGTGCATGCTTGTTTGTGCACGACGGAGAGCTGACCCAGCCCAATCAACCCCAATCTGTCAGTGGATCACCAGATGCACCGATTCCATTTCTTCAGAACCGATACCAATCCGATACCAGCACAATTTCTATACATCTGTGTGCTGACCTGATTATCACTCTTTTGTGTGTTAAACACAATCTACTAAATATAGACAACTTAATTTTAAAGAAAAATAACAAATGAAAAAATATATAATTATAACAAAAATACTATTATAAACTAGGTTAGTGGATCATTCGGAAGCTAAAGTTACTCTAGAAAAATCATGAGTGTACAATAATTTTATCAAATCTAAACATTTAGTGAAAAAACATTCTTTTGTGGGGAACAACCAAGAGTGAATACGTGTAGGACTAAATCTGGTAAAATGTTACACATTCATGAAAAGCAAGTAAATATAATAAAAATGTTAATAAAAGACATTACTTTTAAATGTATAGAAAAGTAATGAGGCAGCAACATATGATAGATATGACAGAACAAGAAAGGCCATTAAAAGCGTGTGAAGTACAATTTATTCATAGTGCTCTCTACTAGAGTGTTGTGATCTAACAGTAACATGATTTAGAAATTGCACTAAACTCCAGCAAGATAATGTCATTTTATGCAAAACCATTGATCTTTATCTACAGATCAAGTATAATTATAAAAATATTGAATCATCTTGTTAGGGATGCGCCGATCTGATACTCAGTATCCGATACTGCAAAAGACCCCTCTCTCAAGCTCCTGAAATTTGCAGATGACACTACCATCATTGGCCTCATACACAACGGAGACGAGTCTGCTTACAGACAGGAGGTTAAAGAGCTGGCTGTCTGGTGCAGTCTTAGCAACCTGGAGCTGAACACGCTCAAAACAGTGAAGATGATCGTGGACTTCAGGGGGAACCTGGTTATTCTATATAGAACTAAACAGTTCTACTCGGCCATCATTGAGTCCGTCCTGTGTACATCCATAACTGTCTGGTTTGGTTCAGTTACCAAATCAGACATCAAAAGACTACATCGAACAGTCAGGACTGCTGAGAGGATTATTGGTTCCCGCCTGCCCAACCTCCAAGATCTTTACACTTCCAGAGTGAGGAAAATGGCTAAGAAAATCACTTTGGACCCCACACACCCAGCCCACTCTCTCTTTCAACTGTTGGCGCTACAAAGCACCGACCACCAAAACAGCCACACATTTTTTTCTGCCCGAACAATTAAAACTTTCATAACTATACATTGTCCATTATAACTGACACATTTATACATCTGAAAATTGTACATTTGTAAACTACATAAACTGTACACTTGTAAATAACATATCTTATGTTACACGTATATTCATTAAAACAATTATATATGTTTTATATATGTTTTTTTCTCTATATTTCTACTTCTGTATTATATTGCATTGTTTAATTTTCTGTTTTTCTTATATTAGTGTTATTTCATCTCTACTGTGTAATTACTATGTACAGTATGTCTGCACTATCATGTATGTTTGCACTATGACTGTACTTTCTTCTGCACTGGAAGACAAATTCCTTGTGTGTGTAAACAATAAACATACTTGTCAATAAAGCTCTTTGTGACATCTGACTTCTGATATAATGTAATAAAATGATGATGAAACTTAATATTTAGGATTTAAAGGGCTTGAAAAGTGTATGATATAATGAAGGTGAACTTCAAAAAATAAATATATATATATATAGGGTTTGCATGCAAATCAAAAAAGCAACAATGCAAGAAAACGATGCTTACACGAGATTTATAAATGATCATTTTTTTCTTCATGTCTACATAATGTAATATAATATAATAAATGTGATCCTTAGGGAAAAAATATTAATTTAAGGTTTTACGTGCAAATGAATAAACCAACAATATACGATTATGGTGCTACGTGAATTTTGGAAATTATCTAATTTTCTTCTTCAGTTACATATTGAATAAGCTGTCAGAAGCGTGATTATAGACCCTTTCATGTAAAGTAAAATTAGGGTAATCGGCAAATAGGTTTCGATCATGCATGTAAATGGCACTCAATGTGACTAGCAGTGTGTTTGTTTTGTGTGCAGAGGAGATTGAGAAGAGATTGACAGCCTACAGGAGGGGCTGTAAGATCTGGCGCATGCTGATCTTCTGTCAGGTGAGAGAAAAACAAAGCCAACAAATACACAGAATTACAAGAAATGAGACTGTAAGTGCACCAGAGCGAATCAGCAGTGTCTGTAGGAATAATACTTCACTGCTGTCTCAGTTTGATTATTTGCGTTTGATGTTGCGTAATGGTTGTGTGTTCAGATGGATAAGAATTCACAGGTCTCTCTCTTTCTCTCTCTCTCTCAGTTCAGAGGGCAGTGCTACTGGTCTTCTGTTTCTTTGAGTTTGATGTTGTGTAAGGTTTCAAATGTGTAATTTTCTGTCTCAGGGTGGCCCGGGGCACCTGTACCTGCTGAAGAATAAAGTGGCAACTTTTGCCAAGGTCGAGAAAGAGGAAGACATGAGCCAGTGAGTAAGATCCATAGAAAAGCCTTGTCTTAAAATTCCTTTAGTGTTTAATAAAAAGAGAACTATTATCTGAGCGATTCACTCATGTGTTTGTGGTGTACACGCAGGTTTTGGAAACGTCTGAGCCGGTTTATGAGTAAAGTGAATCCAGAGCCGAACCTGATCCACATCATGGGTTGCTACGTCCTGGGCAATCCGAATGGAGAGAAGGTATTTCAAGTTCTGAAGCAGCAAGTCCACAGTATTTATGCATGCTTGTACCTTGAGTTTCTGCATTATATTTAGAAATGGTCCCTTTGGGGCCTGCTGTGGCCATGTTCAGCTCTCATCTCTTTAGACACAGACATGCACCAGCTCCATCTTTCCATTTTTCTATATAACACCTCTCTGTCTATCACCATCATGCCTGACAGCATTTTTCCCCTGGTTATGTAACTTAAAATAACCCTTTCCTGTCCAGTACTGAATCTTTCATAGATCTCGAGCTTATGCATCAGTGCTCTGTAACCATCTATTTATAGCAATTTGTGAAAGTGTTCTTACTATTTCCTGTTAAGTACACTTTAGTTTCTGGAAATACTTCCTATTATCTTCTTTAATGTAATGAATAAACCCAACTTTGACTTTGGCGATTGTTCAAAAGTTGGTCAAAAATGACTGAAGATTTGTGTAATATTGCAAAAGATTTCTATTTCAAATAAAACAATACTTAAAAAATTGTATCACAGTTTCCACAAAACTATTAAGCAGCAAAACAGTTGATAATAATCAGGGTTTCTACTGTTAACTAAAACTAGAACTAAAACCATTAAAAAAATTGTTACTTAAAATAAATGTTAACTGAAATAAATTCAAAATATGAATAAAAACTAAAATAATACTAAAATAGCAGATAATCATTAGAAATGTTTTTGAGCAACAAATCATCATATTATAATTATTTTAGTACTTATAAAAAAACATATTTAAGCGAGTTGCCAAGGCATAACTTTACGTTTCTTTTAGTTTAAGTACTGCAATAACTAAATCTGAAATAAAAATGAATAAGAACTGTATAGACATATTTTTAAAAAACGAATAAAATGACAAAAACACAGCAAAATTATTAAAACTTGAACTGAGAGAACTAATTCAAAAAATTATAAAAACTATAATAGTATAGCAATGATTCTAAAATAACACTGACAGTAAATAAGAAATGTTTCTTGAGCACCAAATCAGCATATTAGAATGACACTGAAGACTGGAGTAGTGATGCTGAAAATTCAGCTTTATCATTACAGGAATGAATTACATTTTTAAAAACATAAAAAATCAAAAACAGTTATTTTAAAGCTGCAGTCCGTAACTTTTTTTGGTTAAAATGATCCGAAATCAATATTTGAGCAAGTACATAACCAACAAGTGTTCAAAACTATCGGCTTATAATAATGTTTTCTCATTTGAGTGGTACGGGTAGGTTTTCGTGGGAAATTCGAGCATGCCGCTGCGTCATTACGTCACGTCTGTACATAAAGAAGTTGTCCCGGCTACTAGGCTATCGCATGTGAGGATCCTGCAGGTGGCGGATCGTTTATAGCCTTTTCTAACAGCAGCTGGAATAATTAAATGTATCATTTTGATGCCGGATTGTAATCCAGAAAGGATTATGTGTTTATGAAACACATGTGAATGAAATTAAATTATATTCCAGTTTTAAATGTGCTTCTGATTACAGATAGCATGTGATTACACAAGATTTGTATTTTAAAGACAACCAGTTCGAAGGGAGCATAATTTGCTTTTTGGGTAAAATAATTTCTTAATATGAAATTCGAATGGTATGACAATTACAGATTAGACTGTCCAGAAATGGAAATCTACACACTAATACACACTATACTCATAGTCACGCAATGCTGATGTTGTTAACATTAATAATTTGAGAATAAAGTATAATAATAATAATTTGCATGGTTTGATGTGATATGAGCTCATTTAGATTAAATCACCATTGGTAGCGTGATTTATTGTAATGCTTTTTTCCTCAGTTGGTCAGAACAAACATGGCAGACTTGTTACTTGTTCAGATGACAATATCCGGTGAAAATTATTACTTGGGTCATATATTCCAAGACGTAGGCTAGAATCTGTGATTGCAAAGTACAGTAAATATCCACACCGGTGCGGTGACTGACTGCCACACATACTCCTCAAAACATTAGAATAATCCGCGCTGGAGCTGTGCCAGAACACAACCCATGCAAGGAAGATAATTCCGCACACAGCTGCAATTGCAGGTTTTCAAACAGAGATGGCGACAAAGAGGCAAAACTTACGGACTGCAGCTTTAAATTGTAATAATATTTAACAATAATATTACTGTTTTTACTGTAATTTTGATTAAATATATGCATCCTAAGTGATCATAAGAGACTTACAGTACTGTATTTCCAAAACATTAAAAAAATCCCCAACTTTTACTAGTAGCTGTGATCATTAACATCAAAATCTGAGATTTCCTTAACTGTGGGACTTGAGACTTGAATACAAATCTCCATCTGTCCTTTAGGGTAGGCCTTGACTTTCAGCTCATTCCGTCGGTTTGGTAGCCCGACAAGTGCTATATGACAGGAGCCCCGAGATTACGCCCCAAGGACACATTCATACCGCCCCTGGAACCTAATGTACAAATGCGTTTCTATGGAGACAGGTTCAGCGTAAATCTCATTCACCGTGCGTCATTGCCCAAGAGGCGCCACCGTTCCCGAGAATTGCGTTTGTGTGCATGCTTGTGATTGACACACGGAGGATGACTGACTTGTGTGAGTTTGTGAACGCATGCTGGGTTATCTGCCGACAGAATTTGGCCTTCGCAAGTGAATATCAATGTACGTTTATCTCAAATGAGAGCTTTATGAATATTGCAGCATTTGTTTGTGGCGTCCCCCTTAGCATTGTGGTCATGTTTCATCTTTATTCTCTTTGTAAGGCACTGGCTTCCTTCACAGGGTGAGCCGGAAGTGAAAATCTGTGTCTGTAAATTCATCTTTAATCTCTGTCTGGGTTCTGAAGCCTCTCGGAGTGTTGCATGGATGTTAAGATCTTAACTGGGTGCTTTTGAAGGTTCTCGTTTGCCTTTCCCGTTGCCCGTGTGAGATTTATCCAGGGCCATGAACTTGGAGGCTGCCATTATCCCTAACTAACCTCCTTGAGTCAAAGAGCGAGTGAAGGAGAGAGCTGTGTGAGGGGGAGAAAAAAAGCAGATTATTAATGTCTTGGCTTATCATGTGCCAACAGCTGTTCCAGAAACTGAAGAACCTGATGAGGCCTTATTCTGTCACGTTTGAGTCACCGCTGGAGCTCTCCGCTCAGGGTGAGACTGTCTGCGATAAAACTGCTGAAATGTGCTTATGCTCACACTCCTACACGCAAATAAACACACATAAACAGACTCTTCCTTGCATGATGTGAAATATAGTAGCTGTGAATGGAGGAATACTGATAGACATTCACTGCATGTTATTTAAAGGGATTCTTCACCCGAAAATGTGAATTCTGACCTTCATGTCATTCCAGACTTGTACAGTGTTATTTTTTCTGGGGGGGGGGGGGGTTTCATACAAATAACATAGATCAGGGTCAGTACAAATACATTTTTAACTAATTTACTCATTTGTTTATTTATTGCAAAGAATGCATTACATTTGATGGAAAAGTGACAGTAAAGGTAATGTTTAAAATTAGAGAGGCACCGATACTGAGCTCCTGTACTCGTACGCGTTAAAATGCCCCGATACCAAATGCCGATACCACACAGCATGTGATAAGCGCCATATTCAGACAAAGAAACACAGACAACAGACAGCAGAAAGGAGTTAAGGGTGTCTACTACAAAGTATATGTATGCAATGAATATAATGTTAAACATTCAGTATTAACGCCAGTATCGGTATCGGGTGAGTACTGGAAAAAGTGGTATCGGTGCATCCCTATTTAAAATATATGCTATTCTTTTGAACTTTCTATGTATAAAAGAATCCTGTAAAAAGGTATCACGGTTTCCACAAAAATATTAAGCAGCACAGCTGTTTTTTCAAAATCAAGAATTATAAGAAATGTTTCTCAAGCAGCAAATCAATATATTATAATGATTTCTGAAGGATCATGTGACAATGAAAACTGAAGTAATGGCTGCTGAAAATTTTAAAAAAACATTTCAAACTGCATTTGAAAATATATTCAAATAGAAAACAATTTATTTAAATTGTAATTAATTATGTGTTACTGTTTTACTGTTTTTACTGTATTTTTTATCAAGTAAATGCACCCTTGACTTCTTTCAAAAACATTAAAAATTCTCACAAACCTAAAACTTTTAAAGGTGTGTGTACTGACACTCTGTGCATATTATTTAAGGAATTAAATTTTGTCATTTAATCATGTTGTACCAAACCCATATGAGACCCATATGAGTATGATGACAGATTTTTACTTTTTGGTTGAACTATGTCTTTAATGCTCATCTTTAATGGCATGCCCTTTATAGGAAACCAAGTTTATAGGTCTTTTTCTTAATTTTTTTCACCTGTCCGGCGCCAACTGAAAAACTCACCCCACCCATCTCTTTCTCTGACTCTTGATTATCTCTCTTCATTCTGTCTTTATCTATATTGTCCTCCACTGCATACTGTTTTCCAATTACCGCCTGAGCAAATCTATATGGAAGTGTCTGTTCATCATAGAGAGACGTGCTCACATTGAATTCACCAAATGTATTCCAGTATCGTATCTCCCTCTCTGTTTCCCTCTCTTTTAGGCAAAGAGATGATTGAGATGTACTTTGATTTCCGTCTGTTTCGACTTTGGAAAACCCGGCAGCACTCAAAGCTCCTCGACTATGAAGATCTCGTGTGACCCCACGCGGGTCAGTGCATAGCATTGCGGGCAGGACGTCCCACTGTAAAACTCCATTCCACCAGCTTTCATTTTGGAATACAGGAGGAAGAGGAGTGGAGATGGATACAGCTGCGCCTCGAGTATTGTTTATTTCAGCTCGCCTCTGCGGACTTCGATCACCTCAGAACGGTAACACTCAACAAAACAAAAACGAATGGCAAATGGTTCAAAACACAAGAGAAATCCGGATATGTGGTGTTTTTGTTCTCTAATGGAGAAAAGAGAAGCCGTTTCTCAGAACTGGTTGACAGTCTATCGACTGTTTTTGTTTTTAACTAACCAACAGTTATCAATCACTAGCCCAGACGGTTGTGCTTACAAAAGTGTCCCGCCGAAACTTACCTACCAGAACACAAAAATGGTCATATATGAAATAACAACTAATATATCGGTATACATACAGGATATACATCTCATGAGTATATAGATTAGCTAAAGTCATGCCCATAATCTAAATGTCAATTGTACACAATTTACTTTTTCAATGTTTATTGTTGTGGTCTTTCTAATGAACTATTTTGAATAACTCAGGTTTTAGGATCTACAGATATATTAATTACTAACCTATCCAAATGTGTGGAAGTCATTTTGGTGGAAAGAATGTACATTCTGCCAACATACAGTACTTATATGTGATCATTTCAGAGGTTTAGGAATCTTTTGTCAAGTTTTGCTTTTGACACAACTCATGTCTCCACATTATATGCCACATTATATCTGTCCCTCCAACATAAAACATACACTGTAGGCCCACATTGCAAAACACAGTCATACACAGTCCCCAAACTGGGAAATCGTGACTTCCAGTCATAATAATAGAAACACTGACCTCAATATAGCCAGACATCTACACCAGGTGCACCTGAAGCATAGGCAGGAACATAGCATTACAGGGAGATGTTACAGAATTGCTCAAATAAGCGCTTCTGTCAATGTGTTCATAACAATTAGGCTGTTTTCACACTTGGTTTGAACCTGTCTGTCTTTAAACATAGAATTCGGCTTCAAATGGCAGTATATTTGCGCCTTCATCATGTGTACTTCAATGAGTACATGTGGCTGCTATCAAGTGTTATCCAGTTTACTTTTTTACTCATGTTTTGTCGGTTTGGTTTTAATACCAAATTTTAATGTGCATGTTCCGGCTGTATTAAATATACACTACCATTCAAAAGTGTGGGGTCAGTAAAATTTTTCAATAAAAAATAACACTTTTATTCAGCATGGATGCATTAACTTGATCAGAAGTGACAGACATTTTTAATGTTGCAAAAGATATCTATTACAAACAAATGCTTTTCTTTTAATCTTTCTGTTTGTCAAAGAATTGTTGGGAAAAGGTATCACTGTTTCCACAAAAAAAAGCAGTACAACCGTTTTCAACATTGATAATAAGAATTTTTTTCATGAGCAGCAAATCAGCATAATAGAATGATTTCTGAAGGATCATGTGACACTGAAGATGAAAAATCAGCTTTGCCGTCACATTAACAAATGACATTTTAATATATATTCAAATAGAAAACACTTATTTTAAATTGCAATACTATTTCACAACATTACAGTTTTTACTGTATTTTTGATCCAATAAAAAATCTTGGAGACCATAAATCTAACCTTCCCCAAACCTTTAAATGCTAGTGTATGTATACTAAATAATATGTCATCAATAGCTTCTGGCATCCACAAATAAGGCTGGATTACTTTCATAACAATTGTGAATCATACTTGACTCCACATGAACCCGTTTTCTTGACTTGTGTTTGTTTTCATGATGTCAGAAGCCGATTTCTCCCCAACCAAATGGATTTAGGTTCACACCATCAGCTTTAGCGTGAAAACAGCCTTTTTCCATACCTCTCTCTATTTAGTCTAAAGTCGTTGGTGTTGTGGGGTCATGAACAGGCATTATTCTGAAGGTCACTGTTGCCTTATGGGGCAGGATGTTATTTGATGGCCGTACATGGATAATAGAACCATTTAGACCGTTTTATGGCAGCTTGCAGGTGTAAACTCTATGCATTCTTCTTCTTCCATTAGTAGCTTTCAAAGGTTTGGAGCAACTCGGGAGTTGTTTTTCATGTGTATCTTTATGAATGTTCTAATGTACTCCGCTAATAAGCCATACCCTCTTATAGCAAGCTGCTCAGACTGATGGCTCTTTGATGTGGATGGCTTCAGGCACTCATGAAGAACTTCCAGCTGGTTGAATGATAGAATGTTCTCGTCTTGTTTTTTTTGTTGTTTTTTTAAAAATGTATCCACAATGCTAATTGGCTACTCCTTTGGTGTTGTTCAGGCAATCTTTAACTTAACTGATAGACAGAATGAGGTCTTGCCCCATGGAAATAAGAGAATGTATTAAACACCTTTAAATCATCTTACGGCTTCACTTATTTCAGTTTAATATGGATACACAACAAAAAATTAGATTTATTTCCCAGAAAAGTAAACACTGTGTTTCAACCAATGGCGTGAGTTGGGGGTGGGACTAATCTGTTCATTCAAAAGGTTTGTTGATAGGGGTGTAACAATACTCTCGTCTCATGATTTGATTCGATGCATGATACACAATATTTCCTAACAATACGATACTCTCATGATGCAAACAAAGCCAAAATATAGTTAAAGTGAGAGTTCACCAAAATGCTAATTCTGTCATATGTGACCCTGGACCACAAAACCAGTCTTAAGTCGCACGGGTATATTTGTAGCAGTAGCCAACAATACATTGTATGGGTCAAAATTATCGATTTTTCATTTTATGACAAAAATCGTTAGGATATTAAGTAAAGATCATGTTCCATGAAGATATTTTGTAAATTTCCTACCGTAAATATATCCAAAATGTATTATCATTAGTAATATGCATTGCCAAGGACTTCATTTGGACAACTTTAAAGGCAAATTTCTCAATATTTAGATTTTTTTGCACCCTCAGATTACAGTTTTTTTAATTAGTTGTATCTCGGCCAAATATTTTCAGCTTTCAGATGATGTAAAAATCTCAATTTCCAAAAATGGACCCTTATGACTGGTTTTGTGGTCCAGGGTCACATATTTACTCACCCTCCACTTGTTCTAAACCTCTATCAAATTTCTTCCAGCTGTTGGACACAAAAGATATTTTGAAGAAGGTGAGTAACAAAACAGTTGATGGTAGCCATTGACTTTCATAGTATGGAAAAAAAAATACTATAGAAATCAATGGCTACCGTCAACTGGTTGGTTACCCACATTCTTCAAAATATCTTTGTGTGTCTGCGTGTGTGTGTCTGTGTTCAGCAGAAGAAAAAAACTGTTTGGAACCAAGTGAAGTGTGCATAAGCAATGACAAAATGTTAATTTTCGGGTGAATTATCCCTTTAAAATGATATGTTGTTGTTGTTTTTTTAATTACTTCTAAGACATATGATAAACAGTTACTGTTTACAAAAAGTACTGCTCATTAAAATGTGTTACATCATTGTGGACTTAGTTTCCAATAGCTTTGGACTAAATACATGTAAAAGTTTAAAATATTGTATTGTATTAATAATGTATTTTATTTGTAATTTATTAATGATATTTAATAAACATGGAAGCTCAAATGTATGACCTTCTGGGTTTACTATATTTGTTATGCTCCATTACCATATTTGATGCAAAATGTTAACTTGAAACTTTCATTTTGGGTGAGCTATACACAATACATATTGTCGCTATCCACAATACAAATTATTGCATTTCTGTATTATGCTATATTGTGACGCAATGTATTGTTACACCCCTAGTTGACGACATACTTTTGGTCATATATGGTACATTCTTAATCACAAATGTTGCAAAAGAAATGTTTTAGCATACACATACTACCAAGATATGTTAGAAATTCATGCACTCATTTTAAAGGTACAAGAAGTGATCCAATATAGAAGACATACACAAAAGTCAGTGAAGAAAAGCTTTAAATAGTCTGCAAAGTGGAGTGAGTTTGGATATAGAATACAGTAGGGTTCTGTTATCATACGGGACGTTGCTATCTCTCTGGTCTAGCTGACACACCGCTTCCTCTAAAGGGCTGCACCCCGGCCAGAAAATAGGTTGCAAATGAATTGGACCTGATCCTCTAGCAATTCCAGTCATTAGGGGGCCATCTGTGACTCGCAGTAGGCATCAGAGAGCCTGGCATGTCAGAGAGAAAGAGAGAGAATCTACAATACCACATTCGGCAACATCACACTAGAGGGAACATTTGGTGGCGAGAGTGAATGTTATCTCGTGACGTCCAGTATGAACAGAATGCATCAAATAGAGGGCAGTCATATCACTCATGTCACTTATTACAATTATTCTGTACGAATGTTTGCACATTTACTCATTTACTTTTTAATGAATAGTGTTTCAAAGCTGTTTGTCGATGTAGCAATATACAGTATGTAACTCCTCTATGATGTAAATGTTAATGTTTTGAGCTTTTTACTAATTTATTATATATTTATGCTATTTATTATGTACTTGTACTGGACAGTAATGGTTGATTGTGCAACGCCTTCTTTCTTTTAGTTACTAAAGATTCTTGATTCTTCTACACACAAAGCTTTGGCAATGTCTGAGGAGTCCACTTTTTTAATTGATCTTTTGATCTTGATTTGATTGATATTTTCACACTTTATAATAAGGGTCAATTTGTCAACATTAAGTAATGCATTAGGTACAATAAACAACATGTTTTTATTAATCAGCTTTATTTTAATATTATTTACACACCATTATAGTTATAGTTTTTAAATATATTTTTAATTGGGTTTATTTTTATTTCAGTTTTAGTGGTTTTATTTTATTTCAATTTTATATAAATTACCAAAAATGATTTTTAATAGTTTAACAATGACAACTGTTTTATTGATATATCTTTATTGTATTCATTTTTATAGAAAAATATTATTGTTGTCATAATACTATAAATTAATAATGTATAAATAATGCTAAAAACGAATGTATAATGATGTTAATTTATAGAACCTGAAATTAAAATAGTTAAATATATTTGTATATGTAGAAATTAACATAAAACACGTTGATTAATACATGCTGTAAATGTATTGTTCATTTTTAGTTTATGAAACCCTTTACATTTATTGTTACATTATCATGTTAACAAATTTAACCTTATTGTAAAGTCTTACCGATCTCACTTTATGCCAGCTTACGTGACGTGTGGCCAAGTATGGTGACCCATACTTGGAATTAGTGCTCTGCATTTAACCCATCCAAAGTGCAAACACACAGCAGTGAACACACACCCGGAGCAGTGGGCAGCCATTTATTATGCCTGGGGAGCAGTTGGGGGTTCGGTGCCTTGCTCAAGGGCACCTCAGTCATGGTATTGAAGGTGGAGAGAGCGCTGTACATTCACTCCCCCCACCTACAATCCCTGCCGGTACGAGACTCGAACCCACAACCTTTGGGTTACGAGTCCGACTCTCTAACCATTAGGCCTGACAAGTTCAGCTCCTGCCTAAATGTCATCTATAACCCAACCCCGAACCCCTAGTCCTAAAGATTTGGTGGTAGAGGTTGATTCTAAACCAGCTAACCAACAGAATGTGCATATATTAAAATTGGCATTGTTTGTTGACCGTTTGATGTGCATGAATGGGCAGTTTGAGCGGTCACTCAACATGATCAGAAGATCAGCCTCAGCTTTTACAGTGTTTAGCCATCTAATGTATTCCTATTGTTGGGCCTAAACTAATTATGTGTAAAAATGTGTTAAAGGAGCGGTGCTGTAATTTTTTTTTAGATAAAAGATTTATTTATTCAAACATACAAGGTATTTTTATGAGACTTTATGGACAACAGTATGTCGGTATTTGTTTTTATTCACAATTTTAGTAGCCTTTATTAGGCATTACAGTCAAGAAGGTCTATAATATCTGGAGAAAGCTATCTGTTAGCATTTCCATTCATCACAACTGCACTTCCCAAAAGTATGTGATTTTAAAATATTCAATTTTTGCTCATAGTTAGGTTTGCATCATGGTAAAAAGTCAATTCCTTGCTTCTAAGAGCCCTGATAAAAGGCTTTTTGTGCTATGGACTATCAGGTTCTAACCTGGTTAAGCCAACTAGCTGAACCTTGACCTCTTGAGTATTTACACTCATAAATCTT